ATGGCAGCAGGAAGAGGAAGCTGAAAGCTTACATCTTCAAATCACAGAAGGTGAACTTGAAGTGGCCTGAGGTCGTTCATCTCAAAGCCTGTCCCAGTGATGTACCTCCTTCAATAAGGATGCCTCACCCAAACCTCCACAAACAGAGAAAACCAGTGGGGTGTTCAAATGCCTGAGAACAAGGGGGACATTTCTTATTCAAACCTCCACAGCCATCTACTGCAGAAAGAAGCTCCTCTGATGAGGTTTTAGAGATGCACTAACCCAGGGAAATAAAGATACGAACTTAGGGAGCAGCTTAATGCTGTGTTCATTTAGTAGATTAATGAATGGTATTGGGTTCTTTCCTAGGACCTGTGACCTAGTCAGCCATTGATTTGAAGCCCGGTTAACAGTGTCAGTCATGAGTCCCATCTTGTGGAACAGGCCTTAAAACTAATGAGGAATTAGTTGGTTTCTCTCCTGACATTCATGCCGTTAGTCCACCACTGAGCATATCTCGCCGGGCCAGTTGTTATTGTGGTTTGCAGGCATCACAGTTGGGTAAGACTGTGGATTACTTCTCTTCTCCTGTGCCATACATAGAACCTCCCAGGACTCTGAAAACTACCCAGTAGGGATGAGGCTTTATGTCAGTGCAAGTTTGATTTTTCCATGTCCTAACACTCAAGTATGTGTTCTCTTCAGCAAATAGGGTCTTGCCATCAAGTTCTGGAGAGTAATCAAGAGCAATAGGAGGTTTGTTGGGGAATATATGGACCTCCCTGACTAACAACTTGAAAAGGAGCAGCCCATCTAAATTCTCTCTGTGTGTGTGTATGTATGTATGCATATATATGTGTATATTTTAGGAAGACTTTCCAGTAGTAGGTTTCCATATTACATTTTCAAAGGCCTTTAATGGTAGTTATTCAGCCATACTCCTTCCTCTACCCTGTCCTTCCCCATCTCCCACCTGACTTAATCTTTCCTGTTTAAGCTTTCCTCTTCCCTCCTTTAGAACACCTGTGTTCCAGTCCCTTTCCTTGAACTTTCCTCCCATGCCCCTTATGCATTCCTAACTTCTATGTGTGCTCCAATGTAAGCATGCTCAACCAAAGAGTCAAAGCTACCATCCACATATGAGAGAGAACATGTGTTTTTTTTGTCTTTCTGGTCTGGGTTTCCTTACTCAGAATGATTATTTTCAGCTCCATCCATTTACCTATGATTTTCCTAGTTTCCTGTCTATTTATAGCTGAATAATATTAGTGTGCCCTGCCTTAGTTACTTTTCTATTGCTGTGACAATACAGCATGACCAAGGCAACTTACAAAAGGAAGCGTTCGATTTGAGGATCACAGTTCCAGAGGGTTAGAGTCCATAATCATCATGGTTGGGGACCATGGAGTATGGCACTGGAGCAGTAGCTGAGAGCTTAAATCTGATCCATAAGCATGAGGGAGAGAGAGAGAGAGAGAGAGAGAGAGAGAGAGAGAGAGAGAGAGAACTAGGAATAGAGTAGGCTTTTGAAACCTCAAATCCCATCTCCAGTGACCTACCCCCCAAAAAAAAATCACACTTGCTCATCACTTCTGAAAATAAATAAATAATTGAACAAATAAATATCCAGATTTGGTAAATTAGACTGTTGGCCCATTGGGCCAAACATAAATCTTTTATGGACATTTTGATGAGAACATGATTTCTTCCAAGTTCAGCCTTCATCACAGAACCATTCTTTTTATTCCCAACATGAAAAACCACATATGGTTTCACAATGACTCCAAAGCAAGAAGAGGTCTACATAACATCACACAATAGTAAAAATATTTTTCACATCTTTGTAAAAATCTAGTCCGTGTTTCAAATGAAATTTTCCACCTAGTTTCTAAAGAGCTTGAGTATGTGAAGAGACAGACTGGAGGCCCTGTAGGGGATTAGTAAGATGTGAGTGAACTCCATGAAGAACTAGTGAATGTGCTGACTAACAAGGATGGTTTTATTGGAGGTATTTTTTTTTTCTATTTTATTTCTTCTTAATGAGGAGAAACCAGGGAGGTAACTATAGAGTGAGACAAGATGTCCAAACAGCTTTCCAATGGTGCTCTGCTACTAACTGCTCCCAGAAGGGAAGACCTCAGCCTCTCTCACCCACAGGCCCACCCTTTAGTAACTGGTATAAATATTCACTTCTGATGGGCAGCAGTTAATGCCATAGTTTGACTATGTAAATCCCTCTAAATTCTTATCCTAGAAGTGGTATCACATCCTGTGGTGATAGATTAGCCATATTATAAAAGAGGCACAATGCAATCCTGTTACGGTTTGGATGTAAAGTGTCCTTCACAGGCTCATGTGTTTGAACACTTGGGCCCCAGCTGGTGGTGATGTTTGGGGAGGTCGTGGGACTGTGAGGAGGTGGAGCCTAGTTGGAGGAAATAAGTCACTTCAGGGAGGGCACTGAGGCTTTTAACCTAGCCCAGCCCAGCTTAGTTTCTTATGAGCTCTCGCCTCCTAATCTACCCAGATGTGAGTGAGCAGCCCCGTGCTCCTGTGTAGACAATCAACAGCTCTCCTGCTACAATATAGCTTCCAACTATCCTCAAATTGTGAACCACATTGAACCCTTCATCCATTAAGCTGCTTCTTGTCAAGTCCAGTAATGAAAGAAGCACTGAACACCACATTGTTGTTTGGCGTCCCACCCCCACCCCCCATCATGCAGCAAGGCACCATCCTGAGCCAAGACTCAAGTCTTTACCAGTCTTTATTTATTCTGCCTGTGTCTTGACCTTGGACTTCCCAGCCTGTATAACTATGGAAAGCATATTTGATTCTCTATAAATTTCCCTGTCTAGAATATTTTGCTCTACAGTAGGAATAGGTAAAAGGCATATGCCTAACACTTCCTGTGGAGAGAGGGGAATTCACGTCCCCTATTATCTAGACCAAGCACATCACTGGAAAGCCAGCTGCTTTACCTGGTAGATGAGTAGAGCAGTGAGCACAATGCTCCCAAAGCGAGAAGGCCACCCGCTGTGTCCCTTCTGTCCTGCATGCCAGCAAGATCATCTGAAGATGGTAGAAGGTCTCAACAGCTTTAACTTGTCATGTTTCTGGTACAACAGCCTTGACTGCTTCCAAAGAGCTTTTCAGAGAAAGTTCTGAGGTGGACTGTCATGAGGAAGCACAGGATATATTACTAATATTGCCCCCCATCAAGCTTATAATGGGAATGAGGTTGATCCTCTAAAAAGCAAAGGGAACTCATCCCCAAACTTGAATAGTTCTTTTAAGCAGCTTCACCCAGCTCAGAGTGGAAATGTGGTTTGCTTCCTCCATGTTGCTGCTTGGGTGCTCTGTGCTCCTTCCTCATCAGTCCCTCTCCTCTCTCTGAAGGAGAAAGATGATTGCGGACCACAAGGGGCAGAAACAACTTGTATCTGTTAATATTTCAGGGAATGGGGGAAAAGAAGGAATCTTTTTTTTTTTTTTTGGCATCTGGGTTGCTGTTGTCCCATGATTCTATGGGGTGATGGTACTCCCATATTTAACTGCTAGGGTTGTGGTAGTTTCACAATGGAGAAGAGAAGAAGGTAGATATGCCTGTTTTGAGTCAATGCTGTTGTTTTGGATTCTGCTGCTAAAGCTATAAATGCTACTCATGTTTTATATGCCTCTATTGAGAATGATGTAAGCAGCCAAAGTGATGCTCCTGATTGAGATGACATAGGTATAGCTAAGTGTTGAGATCTTGGTGTCTTCACATCTGCAATGATCCCTTGAGTCACTGTAACTGAGGTTGTCAATATGCCAAAGGGAGGTGGCTTCCACTTGGAGGTATCCCATAGAGTTTGGACCCTGATTCCCTCATACAGCAGTCACCTCCACTTTTGAAAGGAGCTATTTATTTACTATTGGGTTCAGGCTGACCCTGAGCACCTGACCCCAGAACTGTGACTCTATCCTATGGCCCCATTGGAAAGATCCAGCTCACGATCAGTGACTGATGAAATGGATTCAAATGGCTTGCTTATTAAATGGAACAGATGAAAATCCATAAAAAGCCTTGATTCTCCCATCGCCAACCCATCTGGATGAAAAGGCTACATTGAAATCACAATAACATTGAGATTCCATCTCCCCCAAGTAAGGATGGCTGCCATCAAGAAAAGAAATGACAACAGATGCTGGCAAGGATGTAAACACTCCTAGATGGAATGTGAACTACTACAGCCGCTATGGAAATCAACATGGAGGCTCCTCAGGAAACTAAGCCTAGAACCGCCACCTGCTCCTGACATACCACTCTGGGTATATGCCTGAGGGAATCTACGTCATCAGCAGAGGTAGCTGCACATCCATGCAGACTGTACACTAGGTACAGTATTCAAGACCTAGAGCCAGTGCAGAAGCCTTGATGGATGAAAGGACAAAGAGAATGTGGTGTATTATACAGATGTTATGAGGAATACTAATTTTCAATAAAGCGACCAGAGGTGGAGATCACATTAAATAAGCCTGATGTGCAAACTATCACATGCTCTCTTGTATGAAGAATCTAGGTTTATATATATACACATGTAAGAGTGGAACAGGACTGTGTGGGGCGGGCAACTAGAGAGGAGGGAAAAAGACGAGTGTCACATTATCCTGTGTTCTCTCATGTGAAGAACACACACACACACACACACACACACACACACACACACACACACACACGTACATAAAAAGAAAGCAGAAGGGACGATTTGACACGACTAAGTGGACCAGTGGGAGGAGGTGCTGGGAGGTTTATGAGGAAAAAATGTGAGCAAGTACAATACATGTGTGTGAAAGCCATGAAAAGACCTATTAGTTTGTATGCTTATTTTAAAATACTTCAAGATCTTTAAGTGCTTATAACAATTCATCTAAAAAACAATGCCAGATAGTGATTTCAATTAATTCTACCTTTAATAAGATATTACTCCTTACAGAACTAGACATTTTAATAAGTAAATCTATGAGTCAGTAAATTATTTATTCACATTTTATTTGTCATTATAATTTGACAGTGAACCACTTTTCACAAAGACAATCTGGAAACACATTGGGGAGGGTAAACTGATTCTTCACAAATGTGGGGAACCCCCAGGGTAGGACTAGGTATCACATTATAGGCACCAAGAAAATGGAAATCAAACCTGCATAACGGAAATGAAACACTATGGAAATCAAACACTATGCAGCCACTAGAATGGTCAAAATGAAAGCATGGTAGAGAACTGGGCATCAGGGGCTACCACACTGCCTGGAGTGGAAAACGGTAAAACTACATTGACAAACAGCTAGATGGTTCAGGTAATGATGCAGGACATCACCCAGCCTCTCTGTTGTGAGGGTGGATGCTTACACCTCACAATAGCCCTATTTATGACAGCCCCACACAGGAAGTGACCCAAACCTGTGGTGACTGGACCAGCAAATTGCACTGTGTCCATAAAATGACATCTATGCAGCCACAAAATAAACAGGTGGCATTTACAACATGATGATTCTCAAGACAATTTTGTTGAATGAAAACAGATTATCATAAACTTCATTCATGTATTATGGGAGTGTTGGCTGTGTCACCATGATAATTTTTGTGAGGATCAAATAAGGAAAAAATTTCTTAAATGTAAGATAATAATCAATATGCCGGTGAGGATTCATTTATTCTGGCTGTCGACCTCTCCTGGGAGCTTTGTAAGAATCCACGACTTCAGCCTCTCCAGCTCAGTTCTGTTCAGCTCATGGTAGAGATTTGGGAAACTGTGAAACACTGTGTTCACTCCTAGAGACTTCAGGTTTGAGTTTGTCTCCTGGCCCCAAGAGTGAAGAACCAGCTCGTCTGCAATGCCGTGACACTGGAAAAGCTCAGGGAACGTGCCGCCACTGTGCTGGAGATCCTGAAGGAAGGGGTAAGAAGTCAGTCCACTCAGGCACCCATCAGAGAAGACCACTCCTAGCTTACTATGGCTTCTGTAGGTAAACGAAGAGGGAGCCTCCAGAGATGGCACAGAGCGAGGTGTGCACTGTATGCCAGTGGGCAGGCCTCTGTGAGGGCTGCGTGGGTGTGTGTGTGTGCCTTATGGGTTTATACCACTGAGGACGCTTCAAAGGCCAGGAAAGCATTTCCTGAAGAAATAAGTGAAATGCAAAGACAGACTTCTTCATGGGGAGAGGGAGAAGGAGAATCATAGAGCTGAGACCCACCTGAAGGGAAGTCATAGTCAAATGCTCTGGTCAGTTTTTGGTAATGGAGTTGTAACACCATCATGTAGGATAGTCATAAGCTTGAATACTGCTGTAAAGCAGTTGCTTTATAATTGATTTCTGAGTAGACTCATAATAAGCAAGCCCACCTATTGTCTCATACATTGTAGTTCTGTATAAAGGATTCATATAGTACTAAACATATCCTTCCTTATAACTGTCCTTTTCAAGGGGGAATTGCTAAACATAGAGGCCTCCTGTAATCAATATGATTCATGGATTCCACGGACATCTAATCTTTATCGACCAGGCACATTTTATTGCTCTATCATCAACTTTATTTTAGTTTCAATGTGTTTATGTTTCATGTTACTTTTGTTTGTTTGTTTGTTAAACCTAGGACTTACCTTGTAAACAGAAGACTCTTTATTCAGAAAACTAGAAAGAGCAAATACTCCTGCCACATCTCGGTGATTTCTATATGCAAGATGTATCGCCATGCAGCCTCCCATAGAAAATCCCCCTAAAGAAAACAAGACACAGGCCTTATCAGAAAGAGAGGACTACACATGGTACTCAGAATAAGACAGGTCAGGACCAATCTTTCACAAACATTTTAAAGCTGTCTGGAGATGTGAAGGAACTATACTCCTAAACAGAACGTCAGTCTCCATCTTAAGCACTCTTCTATCGCTGAAGAGACACCATGGCCAAGGCAACTCTTACAAAAGAAAGCATCTAATTGGGTTAGTGCTTTATTGTCACCGCAGGGAGCATGGTGGCAGGCAGGCAGGCAGATATGGTGCTGGAGAAGGAGCTGAGAGCGACACTCTGATCTTCAAGTAAAAAGCTAAGGGAGGAGAGTGGGGGAGAGTGCCTGAACCTAGTGTGGGCATTTGAAATCTCAAAGTCCATCCCCAGTGACACACCTCCTCCAACAAGGCCACATCTCCTCATCCTTCTGATCCTTACAAACAGTTCTACTCCCCGGTGACCAAGCATTCAAATATCTGAGCCTATGGGGGCATTCTTATTCAAGTCACCAGTCTTCTTCAGGTCTCAGAGAACAAACCCTGCTTTGAGTAAGTAATGCCAAGACATCAGCGGTAAAGAGATGTATTACAAAAAGAGCCAGACTTAGAGAAATCACATACATCAAGAAAAGCATTTATCATAATTCAAAATACAAGTCATACTATGACTCTGACTTGGTTAAACTTCTAGTGTCTACTTGAGTTTGGGTTTTACTTCTAGGAGCCCTCACACCACACCTACAGTTAATACCATGCTCCTTCCTGTATCACTTGCTGTGCTATGGGCTCCACTAATAGTCATGTTTCTGCAATTTCCCCGTAACAGATGCCTGGAGACCTCTGCATTAGGAAGCATGATTAAAACCACTGGGGAGCTACATAAAGCATTTTGGAATTATGGTATTAGTTTGTAAACTGACAAGATAAAATGAAATGAACTCATCTCTATGAGAAAAGCCATTTAGTTACTTAACTACTTTAAGTGCCACAAGGGTTGAGTATCTTTGCCAGCCCTTGGTTATGATGTAATCCAGGCTGGCCTGGAACTCCTAATCCTTAAACCTCGGATAACTTTGCTAGCCCTCAGTTTTTTGAGACAGAGTCTTACTATGTAGCCCAGGCTGCCCTGGAACTCATGATGCTCCTGCCTCTGTCCTTAAGTGCAGAATATGATGCTAGTCACTACAAACACATGGAGACCCTGCCGGGGGGTGGGGCGTGGGGGGGTGATGCTAATGAGAAAACACATGCATCACAGAGTAGAGATGGCATGCAGGGAAAGAGCAGAGAGGCAGAGGATGCAACACATGGCTAGAGCTCAGAGCTCCATGTGGTGGTCCTGGCCTTTAGCGAGAGAGCTGAAGGCATCTTGTTTGTATTCTATGAGAAATTAAAAATGGAAGCAAACCACACATTTAGAGAGTTTAAAATTACACTCTGGTACACAATTCAGTCTCCTAAATTTCGGCCTACTGCCTTACTTCACATAATAAAGTACAATCCTAGCCCTCCTCAGACCATCGTGTGAATTTATAAGGTTCTCCCTCCATGCATCGAGAAGACAGGCCTCAGAGATCAGGTGGCCTGCTTAAAGGTGTAAAGTAAAGACTTTTGGGATCAAGATCCCTGTGGCAGAGCTCAATGTCCTTTCTCTCATCCTTTGATATTTATTCAGAGGATTTCTTTCCCTGGGAAAGTCAGCTGCTATTAATTAGGGCACAGGATTCAAATATATAAAAGACAGCAGACTGCAAAGTTTAAATTTCTCCTACAGGCACAATTTGTAAGTAATAAGCAGACGTGATAAAAATGATTGTTATCACAGGGCTCACCAGTAGTGCTAGAGTCTAGTGGTCTAGTGACTAGACTTGGTGTGGACAAGAACCACCTTAAAGGATGACAGACCCATCCATCCCCAGTTGCAGGCAGCGAAGGAAGGATCAGGAACAGCTTGGCAAGTGAAAAGAGGATGCACATCTTAAGACACTGTGTGCTTGCCTTTATGTGTGAGCCTTGCCCGGATTGAATAGCCAGTGGGTCTGCAATGATGCATCCTCAATGTGTCTCCTCTGGACATACAGAACTTGGCACAGCAAGTAAGCATCCCCAGCCATTGAATATATGCCTACGCAGAGTGGAGTCTCAGCATCGTTATTTTCATATGACTTCCTGCAGTTCTAGCTTTGGGCCTCTTTCTTCTGAAGTCCCTATACAGTAGCTGTGGGTCTGAAACAAAATTCTCATTTTGATTTGCTGAAGACATACTAGTTCCCTCATGTTACAAACCTTGAGAGGAAGAGGCAGTTCTTTCTTCAATTGTCAGCAATGAGCTGAGTCCTAGGACCTGCTGAGTGGTGTCTCTCCCCTCCTTTGCAAAGCCTCATTGGCTAGCTTCTCTTTAAACACCCAGTCCAGTCCAGGGTCTGGCACATGATGACAACTGAATAATTAAGTCCATATAACTGAATCCACATTGCTGGTGTACCCCTATACTGCCAGCTCAAAGGAGACGGAGGCAGGGGGAACGGAAGTTCAAGGAAAACCTAGGCTACATGAGACTCTGTCTCAGAAACAACCAACCAGCCATCCTACAATGTCTGTTGATTTGATACTTTAAAAATTGGTATTTTATAAGCCTCTCTTAATATTTTCTAACTTAAAATTTGGTAGCAAGGTGATAAGACTGAAAATACGGGACCCTTACTTCTAGTCTGCCTGTGACATGTCCCACTTGAATGAATAAATTCATTAAAATTCAAGACTTAATTTCCAGCCAAATAGAGAGCTAGAGTAGATAGCCTTGACAATTTCCATCAGATTTCTGAACCAACAGTGTATAGTTGGTTGTTGCTAAAACTTGAATCTTCAAAGGCTTTCAAAGTTTACATTTATCATAAGTATACAAATCCATTCTTTGCTGAGGAGTAAGATCAACATCTCTTGGGACAGAATTGTAACTTTCCTACATCCTCATGGGTCAGTGTTGGGAATGCCCATCTCTTTGACCTCTTCCATTGTGCCTTACCCATTTATATGAATTGTAAAGGCAAGCACACTGTTAACCATGGGCTATGCCTCTAAAAGGATTCTAGGGTGTGTGTGTGTGTGTGTGTGTGTGTGTGTGTGTGTGTAGAGAGAGGGGGGAGGGGCAGAGAGGTAGGGGGAGAGAGAGGAAGGAAGGGAGGAGGAGAAAGAGGGAGGAAGGGATAAGGAGATGAAGAGGGAGAGGCAGAGACAGACAGACAGACACATACAGAAACACAGAAAAACAGACACACACACAGAGAAACAGATACACACACACAAGAGAAAGAGAGAGAAACAGGCAGACACACACATACATACACACACACACACACACACAGAAACACAGAGATAAAAACAGAAAGAGACAGACAGACAGACACACACACACACACACACACACACACACACACACACACACACACACACGAGAGAGAGAGAGAGAGAGAGAGAGAGAGAGAGAGAGAGAGAGAGAGAGAGACAGACAGACAGACAGACAGACAGACAGACAGACAGAGAAAAAATAGAGAGGGAAGGAAGGAGGGTGAGAGGGAGAGGTAGAGATACACACAGAGAAACAGAGACACACAGAAAGAGACAGAGAGAGAAACAGAGAGAAAAATACAGACACACACAGAGAGGGAGAGGCAGAGACACAGAGACACACACAGAGACACACACAGAGACAGAGAGAAATAGACAGAGAAAGAGAATGAATCTGGAGGAAGTGTGAGGCTGAGGAGAGGGGAGGAAGCAGGCCACGACACTGGCAGGGTGATAATTCAAGCCATAGCTGGAGGTTTAACTGTTCCTCTGTAGCAAGGCAATATTCTTTCACAGAAGGAATCATAATAAATCATTCTAGAAACTGTTCCTAGCATTTAATTTCTTGCTGGAATTTATTAAGTGGATCTTTATTAAACATAAAACTCAAAAGCCAGACATTGTGCATGTGGCCACTTGTGCTACTGACACTTTAATAAAGTCTTCAATAAAGAGCATAACGACTTAGCAGTCACTGGAGAAGAAAGATCTCCCTATGCTTAGGACAGGGCTGCGCACAGCAGGAGCTTCATAAATATTCACCGAATAAATGAAGTTCGTGTAAGCTGAAGTTTGAAAGAGATACTTCTTCAAGGAGGCAAATTTATCGTCAGGAAATGTCATTTTCTGGCAATTTGATATGATAGTAAAGCTTTAAAAAAAACTATCTCTGGTTGAAGCTGGGAATGGTGGTGTTTCCACGACATTGAAGCACTCAGGAGTGGAAGGCAAGAGGACTGTTTGAGGTCAACCTGCACAGCACAGCAGCTCATGAAAGAAAAGGAAATTGGGAGTGAATGATTAGTGTCTCTGCCCTGAACAGTCACAATCTGTCTTCTTAAAAATATCAATCCTGGGCCACAAGCAAAATCTCATCACATATGTCTGATTTCAAGGGCTCTCATATGAATCAGATGTTTGGGAACCATGTCTGTTGTGGTGAGTAATTCAAGTATTCTGGGTTAAGTGCAAGCATGGCCACAATTTAAGATGGATCCATCTTCTTCGAACACCAGGGCTACAGAGCTTCTCTTTTCTGAGAAACTCAAGAGTTAAACTTTCTCAAACATTTCTCATGATGACTTCAAGGACAGCTAATGTGATGGGGGAACTACACTTTAAATTGTGTTTGTTAGCTAGCCTAAATTTGAATTGAAAGAGCCACAGTTATTGGTGGAAGTGTATGTAAACAATGAAGAGCATCTAAGTGTACCAGAGAAAACAACTCTCTAAGATCCAATTCAGCTAAAGGAATTAATTCATAAAAGATAATCTCAAGGCTAAGATAAGGATCATCAAAAACTAAAGTGTAAATCAAACAAACTAATAGGCCAACACATGTTTTAAAGTGATTATAAAACCATAAAACTTCACACATTAAGCACCTTTGACATTTCACTTGTATTAAGTAGGACATCTAATG